TAGCTGTTTCTTTCAAAGGACAGTTTTAAACACAGCCAAAAAACTTTAACAGGCTGTTTTAAATCTTTTCCAAAAAAAAAAAGGTTGGATGTTTGAGAGCATCACTCGATGGTAACATGTAGTTTTCCCATTAGGGCTGCAATTTAAAAACGATTATTTTAAAAAGTGATTAATCTGTCGATTAATCAATTAATGAAAAGATACTAATAGGTTCCTTAAAGAAGATTTTTACTAAATCAAACCAGGTGAAACTAAAAAAATTTTCCACTTGAGTTCTGGATATTGACAAATGAAAAAGTTTTTGTATCTTAAATGCAAAATGTTTATATATATTTTTTATAATTTTGGTATAATGCTGCTAAAGGGTTTTTGGGTTGATCTGTCACTCCGTTTAGATTAATGGATTAGTAAATTAGTTTTATTACAACAATTGTTTTAACCCAAATTTAAATTTGTTTCAGCCGCAGTTCCCACCCACCAAATTGTCACCTTTGACATAGAAAATTTGGGTTATAATGATCGGGAAAAATCAAGTAAACAGCTAAATATACACGACTAGTGATTAGGTGAGACGACAGAGTATTAAATATGATGCCTCCCCTCTTCACAAAAGAAAAACCCATCACTAAATGCCAGTCTGGTTAAGCGGAACTAAATCAGATATAATAAAGACTGTTAGTAAGTGTGAAAATAAACTACTGATTGTTTTTGATATGAGACTAATAAAATAATGACCTGTAATATCTCTAAACCCTTAACTTATATTTTAATCTATCATTTGAACAGGGACCTTTCCAAACAATATGAAAATGGCAAAAATAATCCCACCTGTGTAAGAAGGAAACATTTTTCGCCAATTACAGGACAATTTCTCTGCTACACTTTTTTTTAGGGAATACAATTTCATAAATTTATAGAAAAAACATAATTAATAATAATAAAAAGTTAAAAAGGTCAACAATCTATGGCAGTAATTGATGCAGTAGAAGAAATTTACAAATAATCTAGATGAAAAAAATATGCATCAGGAATATTAAATGACTTTAAAAAAGCCCTTTTATACTGTAAATCGTGATATTTTACTCAAAAAAAACGGAAGATAGGTTTTAGTGGAGGGGGCCTTCAGTTGGATGCAAAGCTATTTAGCAAAAGGGCGGCAACATGTGAAGAAGGGTATTCGCAATCGGGATGTTTGGGATTGCTTGTGGAAATTTCCCCCAGAGATCTATATTGGGCCCAAACTTGTTTAATTTACACAACATATTTAATATACCCAAACACTAAACCTTAATCCTTTTTGCGGATGACCACCAAAGTTTAAGTGATTATCTCAGTGATTTGATATTTAATATCAATAATGAACATTTCAATTGGAATATAGATGAATAAAAACTTATCCCTTAATATACATACAATTTTAAATATTATTCTTCAGAAAAAAAAGAATAGACTAAGAAAATAAATACTGACAGTGGGTTTTGATAGAGCCTGTGTCAGACAAAAGAACTTGACTGTTTTTTAAAATAAAAATTTAACTGAATCATTTCGACCCTGCATTTTTAAAAAAAAAGATATTAAATTTTCACGGTTTTTTGCTGCTCCTGCATCTCCCTTTCAATTTTCATTTGGACTTACACAGCAGGGTTCGGTGGGCATCCTAACTTCTCAAGAATGTCTCCAACCTCTGGGTTCACAAACCTTGACTTTGCGGCCCGGTTTTAGATGTAGCAACCTTTTTTCCCGATTTACGTCCTTCAAAGTAACAAATATAACAAACATCAGAAACAATAAGACTAAAGCAGATTCCAAACCAAAACCCAAACAATAAGGATTTTAAAACCTTTAAAAACCCCTGATCCACCATGGCTTTAAAACCCCACATTTCCCCACCAAAGCGGGAGCCAAAGGGCCCTTTGCCGAGATCCCAGCCACGGAGCCAACATCAATCCCAACTTCATCGCCAGCTGTGCCCACCCACGGGGAACCCGAAGCTTGTTGAAAGGGCCCATCCAGTTTCTTGGTCAAACGCCTTCCTGCACGTAAACGATAGAAGAAACAGTTTTGTAGAAGCAATGCATCAAATTCTAAAAGCGTGTTTTAAAGGACAACCTCCAAAAAAAACAAGAACCGCCGAACAACCCTGAAGAACTCTACACTCACCAACAAAGGACCAGACACCTCGTGGGTAGAATCCCCCCCGAAAAAACTTCAAAATCAACAGCTAAAAAACCCCAGGTTATTACAAATTTCTCTGATAAAATTCAATTCGTGCCCCTTTCATCCTCAGGTTTAAACTTCAAAAAACAGTTCACTGTGAATTTGGGATAAAGGATCAGACTGACGCTGTTTAAACGGGGGAAAGCTAAAAAACTCAGAGGGATGACTTTTAAAGGGATTCCCGCCTGCAATCAGGGGACCATTTTTTTAAAAGCACAAAAAACAGAGTAATATTACCGTCACTGTTTAAACTCTCTTTAAAAACACAATTATATTTTTTATATAAAATTTTACCGGGTTTATTTTAATAGAATTTTTTCAAAAAAAAAAATCAATTTGGGTTTTTAAATCTAAAAAACTTGTCAGTTTTCGGGAAGGGGGAAACAAATAAATAAAATTTTTAAATATTTCATTAATTACTTTATTATAAAGATGATTCTTTCCCAAAAAATAACAGGGGATGTGAAACTACCATCCTCTTTTATTGAATAAAAAAAGTTTTAAATAGGAAGGGAAAACGGTTGTATATTTTACACCCCCCAGGAGGAAAAACAAGTATATAAAAACAGAGGGACAAGCAATGAATGATAGCAATATATGAACGATGGCAGAGGGGAAAAAATGGTTTGTACAGGGTTTCCTGCAGCGGGGCAAATTAAATTCAAGACTTTAAATTTTTAATCCCACTTGAAAAAAAATTTAAGCCAAACACAAGAAACAAGAAAAAACCCCTTGCGCAACTAACCCAAAGGTTTATTTTAAAACAAAACCCACGCATTAATTTAAAAATTTTTAAAAAGCTCCCTTCGGGAAAAACTAAAAACCACAAATGACGGATAATTTTAACAATTATTTAACTGAATTCAAAAACTTTGTTTTAGCAGGGAACAAAACAACATTTTTAAAGCCCCAACAAACCATGCTAATCTTTTTGCGCTTTTTTTTTTTGGGTATGGTTTTCTAGTATTTTTTTGGTGAAAGTGGGGCTTGCAAGAGACAAGGGGAACTAAACTGAAAAATACCCTGTTTTTTTCCCGTCTCCTTTTGCGCTTTGTATTCGTCTTCGATCACCCCCTTGCCAAATTCCCAAATGACTTCTTGCACTAAATCCACTGGCCTCATGTATTTCCCGGGTTTAGCCAGGAAAAACCCTTTCCTGACCAATTTCATACATTTACATTCTCAATTTTCCAGACAAAAAGTTAAGGCGCATCCCCCAAAATGTCCCGGCCGCAACAACCTTTATTGGTTCCCTATCGGGAGGGAACCAAAAGGCGAGCCGTTTTTTTTTTGAAAAAAAAAAAAAGTAAATTTTAACTTTTTTTTTAATTTACAAAAAAAAATTTTGTAATAAAAATAACCCCTTTTTATTATTTTTTTAATAAATAATGCCTAAAAAGACTGATTTAAGACATTTTAAAACCCAATTAAGGCCTTATTTTTTTTTTAAAATTCAATCCCTTTTAAGACTTTTAAAGGGCCCTGCGGAACCCGTTGAAAAGGGGTTTTGATTAAATAATAAACAGAAAATTTAAAAAGGGGATATAGCGGGAACAGCTTTTAAAATTTTGGACAAATACTTTCCGATTAATTTTTAAAAAGCTTGCTTATTTCAAATTTCATCCGCTTAATGAAAACCTTTGTGAACACAATTCACATGACATGTTTTTAAGTAATATTTTAGCAAACCCGGAGCCACCCCAAAAACTATACATTTTTCCCCCTGCTTTCAGGCCCCCCCGCCCACAGCCAGGCTGTAGTGCCTTTCGCTCTTATCGGGGTTTTATAATCTCAAGGACTCATCTTGTCCCTTTGGAAAAAGATTGCACCCAAAACCGAGGGGGGAGAGAACATCATCTTAAAATTTTGGTGAATAAAACAATGTTATTTATTAAAACAAACCCAAAGTCAACCTTTCGGGGTCTCTGCTACACAGCAATGCCTTGATAGAAGACAGAGTTTTTTCAAATAACTGAGAGGACCACCTGTAAAAAATTTGGGGGATAATCAAAGTTTTTTGCTTAAATAAATTAAATAAAATGAAGAAAAAAAACTAGTGATAGATTTACAGCTTCGATTTCCCTTTCAGGAGGGCATGCTTGATTGAATTTTCAAACACACTTCAATGACCATTCAGCCTTTTAAAACCCTTGTAATACGGGCTGATAAAGTGGACAGTTGGACCCCCTCTGAAAGGATGTACTCTTCTTTTGGTTTTGTGATTAAGCTATTTTAAAAAGAAAAGAAAAAAGGGTTTTAGAAAAGCAACTTTCAGACATTTCATTGCAGCATAAACCAGAAGTGTCATCTGACATGAAGTTACAGACCCTTTGTAAACCTGCTGCTCTCCTCTGGACAAACCTTCCACAGTGGTGTCCTTAAGGATGGTATGGATGCCTTTGTCCACAGTCACCTGGGCGACACCCGCTCCCATTAGCCCTGCTCCCAAAATGGCAAGAGTTCTGGGGAAAAGAAAACAGAAAACAAGTGAGCCGATAACTGTGGCAGACAATGCATCAAACCAAAGCACAAAAAACGCTTACTTCACTTCTCTCTCTGGGGTTCCAAATCGATTCTTCTTGCATGCTACTTGACCGTGATACAGACCAATTAGGGCGGCCGATTCTGAAGTTTTCGCCAACTGGCCGAAATTCTGTATAAAAAAAGAAAATAAATCGAACGATCAGCAAACAAAGACGTAAGCCCTATAGGTGCCAGGAAGCGAGGAAAATAAACTTTACCTGAGACTCTGCCAAGTATCCAGCAATTGGGCCCTGTTCCAC